CAGGGCGAAAGAAAAATGACTCTGATTGTCTGTTGCCAAGGTAGTCATTAAAATTGGTGTTACAGGTAATCTCCGAAGCAAGCTTTGGGCCAATGTTAACAAAGTAAGAATTGAACAAATGTGCAATATCCTTACTGTTTGTAACAAATTCATCTGGTTTGGTGGTTGATTTTAATTTTTGAGGGGTTCCAGCTTTGCACATGTTTCCATTCATTATTTCATTAATGGCCTGCCATGTTTTATTATTATTGCCAGCGGAGGTGCAAAATCTGTCACGAAAATACGACTTTTTGGCAGCTTTCAACAGACATGACATGTTAGTGCTTTTATTTTACGGCTGTGGCAATCAAGGGGAAATGAATTATCTTCGATATGTGCTTGGTAATTAACCAATTCTGCTTTTACATTGTCCACCCACGTTTATTCATATATTATGTTACCAACCCTGACTTTAGTACAAATTTATTTGGTGTGCATAGTTAAATTACATTTGGGTTGCACTTACCATGTTATCAACCATGTTACTTCCGAATAACAAGTGTATTAAAGTTAAACACCGCCCTCTCAGGCTATGTTCTAAAAAACACTTTGGCCCGCTGAAGGCCGTCTCAGTAGTCTTAGAGTAAATATCGGTATTAAACGCAATTATTTTAAAATGAATTGTACATCAGCTCACTGTGACAAATGAAACAAACCTGATTGTATATATCTGGTATAAAAGACAAATGTGTGCAGCCAGTATTTAGCAAAATATGTTAGGCGTGTTCATTTGTAAAGGAAAAATACAATAACATTTATTACGTAACATGTAATAATGCTTTTAGACATTTAGATACATCACAAACAGCTGTTCATCACTTCAACGGTGCCGATCAGTACGCTTATAGTAAATAACAATATTCGCAAGGTTATACAGTATATAAATATTTTGTTCAACCTCGACTAAATATACTTAAGTAAAACGTGATTAAGATTGGTGACGTCATCCCAAGGGTTGTGACATCAGTTAGCAGAGTTATGGTTGTACTGTAAATACATATTACTCAAAACACGTCTTACATTCTTGGCATATTTATGTAATTACTGGCATAAAAGTTATTTAAATATCTGTACGACTAAAACATCTATATAGTGCATATATTTACTACTAGTAGATTGGAATGAAGCTAACATTCTCAACCCAGAAACGCAATATTAAAATCGCAAAATTACCTGTTCGGTTCGCATCTGGCTTTCTCCAAAGAACGTGTCTAAAAATAAAAGTTTACAAACATTAAAATATCAAATGCGAATATGGCATGTAATCACTTTGATACTTAAATAATTCTAATTACTGCGTTGTGTACTATTGGTACACAACGCAGTACATAAGCATAAGTACATAAGTACATAAGCCCACTCACCTCAGACAATGTTGAAGTCACCAGCAAGACTATCACGATATACCTCATCGTTGCGAGAGTACTGAGTGATTGTATTCGTGGCTACATCGTACGATATCGCAATTGTTTATCTTGTTCAGAGATACAAATTGTTGTATCATTCAGTGACCGACAGCTGTTGCAATCACTGTCACTGCCTAATATACCGGGATACGAATTCATGAACGCCACGCTGATAGGACAAGAAACGGTCACGTGGACTGGATAATTATTTATTTATTAATTTATTAAAACATGGGGACTCGCAATATTTTGTTATTGTCTGGTAAATTAGTTAAACACCCCAAAAGTGGTATGAAAAGTTGTCAGGAAACACTCGTTTTGTAGTAATGTTATAACCTACGTTTGGTCCGAAAATGGTGAACGGCCTCGTAAATAGTGAACGTTTACACGGTTACAACTCGAATAATTCCCTATATTGTGTCAGTTAATACACTGGTGGCGTACAATACTGCACACCTACTGTCATCAGTTGTACGCCATGGTTAATACACTGTACAATACTGCACACCTACTGTCAGCAGTTGTACGCCATGGTTAATACACTGTACAATACTGTACACCTACTGTCAGCAGTTGTACGCCATGGAAAGTGAGATAGAATATATTTTCACTGGACGGACGTAAATGGCAAATGAGGATATTGCATTTCAGTGAGTTATACTCAAAACAAGATGTGCTTGACTTTATTCCATGATACGCTAATTAAGATTAATTTAACCTTAATTGCCAGATTAAAAGCCAGATAATTGCAATTGTATTCAATATTAATTATACTAGTTTAGGTTTTTACATAGCACATTTGTTTTAATACAATATGGGTCTCCAATGTAGCAACTCATATTTAACTGCTTTTTAAAAAATATGATTTCCTAAGATTGATTGTATAAATATTTAAACTAGGACTGAAAATTGTCGATCCTTGCTTGTTTCTCACTAACATTATTTTAATTTTTAAATCATAGAAAAATGTTTTATAAGCTGTGATAAGTAGCACTCTCCATGTACGAAGCGCCCTCTATGGGTGATGGAACATTCAATTGTTAATATTTGGCTCTGTGATCATTCCTCAATAAAAACATTTTGGATCATGTACATTTACATAACAGATGAAAAGAAACGTGATATTAAGCATATCATGGCCCATATTCTCTAATCATCATTGAAAGAGTGTTTACAAATCCAATATCGCTTGTTAATCAAGACACACAGCAATACTACAGTAATATTATTTTATTCAATGTAAAACAATTTTTTTCAATATATATAGAACAATTACACTGTATATATCAAATCATTGATTAAGTTTTCCAAATATACATTTACAGAGGTGGCGACACATCATTTTTCATGGGGGGGGGGGTCTGCTCACCATCCCTCTGAAACGCTATTTCCTGCATTTTGAGGGGCAAATTCTGCTGACACAAAGGGTTTCAGCTTGATCTGGCCGCCGCCACTGATTTAACTAACTAGCCAGAAATTTGGCAAGGTGGGGGTTGATTATGATATAAAGTGAATTAATTTGTTATTCCTGTTTATGTTTACATTTTACTGTAAGGCATAAAACTACCAATATGACAAACAGGAAAAATTTGCATATATTCTGAAAATAGCACCATTAAATTAAGCATTAATTAAACACAAAATACATTACAATAACACAAAAAATACATTAGAGTGACCACCTCAATATACTAGTAGTCATTATACAGCATTCAGAGACTAGTGTGTTTACAGTATTATAAGCTGACTAACATCTTCACACCTTTGATATAATAAATTAAAATAAAAATAACACTGACTTTTGCAACCAGTTTAATTCAAGTCAGGGCAAATAACGTAATGTTCTCAGATGAAAGATCCACAAATGTAGAAGAATGCAATTTACAGTATTTTTAACTTTTCATTCTCTAGATATTCAACTTTTCATCAGTTATGTTGTCCACCATTTTTAGTATCCAGCAAAGGATTGTGGGTAAAGTATGATATCATAGTCACTGTTGTGAAAAAAATGAGAAAATTATTACATAGGACTTCAAATTGATTATGTTTAAAACATGGTAACATACCAGTGCCATTCATACATATACAATGATTGTCATAAAAAAAGAATTGAAAATATAAAATTTTGTGGAGCTCTTTCATCTGGGAGCATTGAGTTGTTTACCTGCTCTTCCCCTTTATTCTATTCTGGTTTTCCAATTCTAAAACTACTGGGCAGATATGAAAGTGAACAGAGTGATTAGACTAGGTTATTTTAACTATTGTTTTCAGATAAATAAATCTGTGGCAATAAATTACTTACAACAACAAATAATGTTTTAATATGAAGTAAATCCCGAGAATATCTGCAATGTTAAATTATTTTTGTATCCATTTTACAAATTTAAGGCGACATCTGATTTCAAATCAAAATGTACAGAACTGAATCAATATCGAAGTGTTTATTTTGTGGGATAGACAGGAGCATAAGCAGGTGCATATCCAGGTGGTGCAGTAGTGACTTGCTGTGGTGCCATTGTGGAGCCATATCCAGTCTGATAACCATGATTAGCCTTTCCATATCCATCAGTTTGGTATACAGGGGAAGCAGATGTAGGCTAAAGTTGAAAGTAAATAAATTATATTACTATTATACATCTGTCACCGTAACGCCATAGGTTACAGCATGCCGTAATTTTGCGGTATTTTATGGGGTATTTTCATCCTACCATATTAGGAAATGTGAATTCCAAATATGGAATTATTACGCGCGTAAGCGCCCTCTAATAATAAAAACAAACATGGCTGCCACCAGAATTAACCGGACTCCATACAAAGAA